TTTTAACGAAAACTAGGTTGAATAGCAACCACAACTTTATAAAACCGAACGTGTCAACATCGATGTATGCCGTATACGATTTCTTTCGTTTTCCTTCATTACTTTGATTTTTCAATATTCAAACGTAGCGACTTTTTCAATTAATGTTTATACATTTAAATGTTAATGGAAATACATTTAAATGTACGAAAATTTTACTATACAATTTTATGACAATATATAGGGTTTTTAATCAAAATAACCAAATAATACCCGATATATTAACAAAATAACCATTTTTTTTTGTTTTACCAAACTAATCACACGGATCGTACCCGGGAGGCATGTTTGACAATGGGGGCGATCTAGCCATCTTTGACCAAAAAAAGTACAAAAAATTTATTTTAAATTGATTTGTGGGACCTACATGTATCTGATTTGGGGGACACCATCTGGTTTTTCTTGAATAGGGAGATCGCCCCCACCAAACCCCGGATCTTGCCCTGGGGACGATTCGGCCCTCCATAGTAGACCACTGTTTTATCTTCTAGTGTAGAAATCGATTTGACAATTAAGAGATATTTTTCAATAAACATGGACGATTTTGGCTGTTTTTTAACTGTTTTAGGACCAAATATTGTGGTTTTACTCTCTAAAATCAAACACTTCTACTCTCACAACCCCTAACTCTTAAACATAATCTAACATGACAACCCTTAACACAATCTGAAATCACGTCAAGATTTATAATTTTTACTACTTCTTTTAAACGCATAAATTAACCAACGAATGTTTTTATATTTTCTTGTAATTATTATATTTTATTTTATAACCACTGAATGTTAATATTTTTTTAATAATTGTTGACACGAAAAAAATATTTGTATCTGATTTGGGGGGACTAAAGTTAAATATTATATCTGAAAAATATCATATTTTTATAACCACGTACTTTGACCACTATTTTGTCATTTAGTGGCCTGCGATTTGACGATCTATTTTGTCATTTAGTGACCTATTTCGTGGTGGTCACTAACTTAGTCACTAATTTAATCAAGTTAGTGACGATATTTTAATGACCAAATTAGTCATCACACACAGTGATCACTCGATTTTTGTCACTAATTGGTGACCATTTTTGTATTTAGTCACTAATGTAAATCAGTGACGGACCTTATAGTGACATGGTTGTCCACCCGCTATTTTATAATAGCAACCAAGCCAACCGGCCTATATTTGAACAAAAATGTCGTGGGCATTTGGTAAAGTCAGGCCGATTGGGTGTCTTCATTCAAGCGACGAACATGACGAGATCTTATTTCATTATTTTTTTTCTATAATCCACCCTACCCAGTCCCTGAAAGCCTTCCCAGGGGCCTAGCCCTCTTTTTTCGAGTCTTAAGCGGCTTTCATTGGACTGCTTACCAGCTTCGAAGGCATTGCACTTTCACCATACAACAATGGTTCTGGCCTTACCAGCTTCACCTAATAGGGCGGACACCTCTCCAACCCGAAAGTTTCTTGCTGAATTTCTTTGTAACTGAATTCCAAAGTTCCTCTCTTCGGTCCTAGCTGGATTCTGTCTTAGCTTTACGAAATCGTAACCTACTATTAGTGTATGCCTAAAACTGAACTAATTACTTTTCTCTAACCAACTTATGGCCAAACAAAAAATGACTCCGATGTTTTTGACAGTACTTAGGGTCCTCAGTACGACTTCGTTTGGCCTGTGTTCCAAATTACCGTAGCCGACTTCGAGCACTTCGAAAGAGGTCTTTCATCCACTAGTACAAGGAAGGTTAAGGAGCTAGGTGCTCGAAATATTTGACCTTAGGTGTATTTTTGTATTTTAACGTGTTAAGATCTTTCCTTCAGGAGGCCATAGATTCAAATCCCGTATTGTTGTTTTTAAGATCCTTCCTTTGAAAGGCACAAAAGATTTGACAAAAAAATAAATAGATTTCCACATAATATGTTTCCCATCTTCTAGCTGCATTTTGAATACTTTGTAAAAGGTGGTCCAAAATGTTTCCATTTTGGCTTTGTCAACATCATAATTAATGTTTTTACATTTAAACATAAGACTTTGTTACACCCGTATTAAAATTATAGTTCGTCGAAAATGAATAAAAAAATAAAATAAAATACAAAATTTTATTAAATATCTTACAAATTTAAAAAAAAAATACAAACTGAGAAGATTATTAAAGAATTATTTTGTTTTTTGATCGATAAATTCTGGATTTAAATAACCACTTTGATTTTGAAAGAAATTAGATAATTATTCACTGAAGTGGGTTCACAGGTTGGGTTGTATAAATCCGAACCCCAAGTGTAAGTAAAACTAGGCCCACAAATTTTAGGACGTTATCCTAAAGTCAAGATTTAACATGTTAATAGACCACCATAAGTTTAGATCACTGTAATAAAAATTGTCTTTTAAAACGTCATAGATCTTAATAAGTATTTAATAAAGTTTCTAATGCCAAAAGTTGTGTGATACTTAAACGCCTTACATTAATTGTTAAAATAAAGTTAGATAACCTGATAAGTTCTATAAAAATTAATTAAAATAACTATTTTCATATATTGTATTTATTTCTTAGTCATTTCTTTTCTTAAATTACCAAAATGTCAATAGGTCTCCGCAAATGACAGATCTGTAATTTGCGGAGGGTTCAAAGTGTAAAACAAGGTTTTAAAAGTAGAAACCAAATTTGTAAGTTAGTACTTGGGGTCGTTTACCAATACTTACCCGGGTAAGTGCTTACCGGCAAAATTCAAAACTATCAATTACTTACTTGTAAGATATTAGTCCACTAAAACGGTATCGTATACAACAATTAACCCGATAAGTGTTAACTGTGGTAAGAGTCGTCGCTGTCGCTGTCACTTACCGGGTAAGACTCTCAGTCTTTGCCTTAGCTTTTACTGGGTAAGATTTTTGGTTCTTGCAATGTTGATTCAGTAAGGTAATGTGACTTGGTAAGCGCTTACCCGGATAAGCGTTTTGTAAACGCCCGTTTAGTTTCAACACTTCCACAAATTACGAAGATATATCTATTTTACATATTTGGTCCATGCACTTGTGGATCTGCTCATAAACTTTTTGTTTATACTTTTTGATCCATTCGTAAATTACGGACCTGTCACTTATGGACCTAGTGACATTTTGGGGATTTTATAAGAGAAATGATTAAAAAAATGAAACCACAGTTCAAAAAATGACTATTTTAATTAATTTCCCTAAATTCTATCAACGAAGTTGTATAATCAAACACAAAAAATAAATTATTTTATTAATTTTTTCATATCACGCAATTAAAAAATATGCCAAATTAATTGTTATATATATATATATATATGACGTTTCAAATGCAACTCATCACATTTGTATAACTAATGCAACCCAGTCAATTGAGATTTATAGAAATAATGAGAGTTCATTTATTATGATTTGAATATTTATGGAAGATGATTAGGGTTTATTAATTATGATCAATATTTTATATTAGGAAACAATCAAAACTTTTATGATATCACATATTCATCAAATTAAATAGACGATTAAGATTGAATTGTATTGGTTATACAAATATAAATAATTGTATAATAAGTCACATCTCAGATTTACTTTTTATAGCTCAACTTCATGTAACTTATTTTATGAGATTTACTTTGTATAACTTATTTTATAACTCAAGTTCATCATAAACTCTTATTCAATGTTTATTAAGACACATGGAATCTTAAAAGAGCAATTTTGTTGTATTCTATGATTTTCATTTCTTTTTATTTAGGTGTATTTTAAATACTTAATTACTAACTAAATATTAGTTTTTCAACTAAAATCTATTTTATATCAACTAACTAACCACATTTTTTTTATTACTCAATAATACAAAAAAAAAAAAAATAAATAACCCTAAAACATACACAAATTATGTCATTTTATAAAAAATCGATATCATCTTTGACTGACTATTCAAAGAGGCGATACATTGAATTGTAGTATATAAATTTCTTCTTTGTATTAAATGATAAGAAATACGTAATAAACTAAGAGCATCTCTAACAATTATGTTATTTTACAAGTTTTAAAAACAGGTTGTTCCACCAGTTATATTAAACTCTCTTCTAAAATAGACAAATCTAAGAATTTGAAATATATATATATATATATATATAGGGTATATTTCTTTTACAACCTTGTGTATTTGTACAACCTTTGTAATCCAATTAATTGAGATATTTATAGAAATGATGAGAGTTCATTTATTATGATTTGAATATTTATGGAATATGAATAGAGTTCATTAATTATGATTAATACTTTWTATTAGGAAACAATCAAAACTTCTATGAAATCACATATTCATCAAATGAAATGGACAGTTGAGATTGAGTTGTATTGGTTGCACAAATATCAAGAGTTGTATAATAACCAACCTCTATATATATATAGACTTGGGATCATATGAGACCAAAGGTTTTTCGTGAGACCCGTAAAACCAATTATCAACTCTTGGATTAAATCTACAATCTAACAATCTGAACATTCATAAACGCCACGAGACTTTTCAATAATCACAAAATTGCCACCGTTCAACTTTAAACCATTAGATCATTAGCTTATAAAGTTGATCAATGAACATAAATTGGTCTTACGGGTCTCACAAAAAACCATTAGTCTCACAGAACCCAACCCTATATATACAAGATACATGTTAAAGATGTTTCATAAACATATTTAAGAAAGTTTTCAAAGTGTTTTTTCATATAGCTTTTTAGTCTAAATAGACATGAAAACAACCGTTGACAAGAGAAACACCATGTGATTTTGTATAGTTACAAGTTTTTAATATAATTACTTTTCGCTTGTAGGCCCCACTTACTTTTAGAAAAAAAAGGGCCTATAATAATTCATACAAGTATATTGTAGCCATGTACCAAGTATAAAATGGTAAGCATATATGCCTTTAAAACTCCACAACTAAAATCAAAACCACCATGGTATCATCATCATCATCATCATCATCTAATCACATGAAGGTTTTGGAACGAGTTCCGATCTCAAAACCTCCATTCGAGTATAGTGATCTAAAAAACGCAATACCATCACACTGTTTTAAACAATCTCTTTTTCGTTCGTTTTTTTCCGTTTTCCGAGATGGTTTAACGATAAGCATCCTTTTCTATGTTGCATCAAACTACATTCCTGTTCTCCCTCGATTTATTTCCTTCATAGCATGGCCTCTATATTGGATTTGCCAAGGTGTTATGTTTGGTTCTTTGTGGACCCTCGGCCATGAGTGCGGCCATCGTGGCTTCAGCGGTTATTACTGGTTAGATGATACAGTTGGTTTTCTCCTTCATAGTTTCATCCTCACTCCATACTTTTCCTTCAAATACAGTCATCGTCGCCATCATGCCCACACGAATTCCTTGGAATATGATGAGATGCATGTCCCCAAACACAAGTCCAATAATTCATTGCTCGCTAAAATCCTCGATAACCCAATCGGTGTGGCGGTCAGAATCTTGTGTAGAGTCACTCTTGGATACCCGTTGTACTTGATCTTCAACCATTCAGGACGAAAATACGAAGGGATGGCAAGTCATTTATACCCACAAAGCCCTATCTTCAACGACAGCGAACGTGGTCTCATTTATTTATCTGACCTTGGTATTTTTGTTGTTTTATATGCATATTATCGTATGGTATTGACCAAAGGGGCAATTTGGGCATTTTGCATCTATGGAGCTCCATGGTGTATTATGGGTGGTATCCTGATCGTGTTGACTTATTTACAGCACAGTCATCCTTCGATTGCTCACTTTGATTCAACCGAGTGGAATTGGATTAGAGGTGCTTTATCGACCATCGATAGAGATTTAGGGTTTATGAACATGATTGTTCATGATGTACCACGTAACCATGTGGTGCACCATTTGTTTCCTAGCATTCCACATTACCATGCACTCGAGGCCACCGAGGCCATCAAGCCAATCTTAGGTGACTATTACAAGTATGATGGTACTCCGATCATGAAGGCATTATGGAGAGAAATGAAGGAGTGCATTTATGTTGAATCCGATAATGATCTGAAGAACACAGGCGTTTATTGGTTCAAAAGTATAACCAAAGAGCCATAGGCCTATGTAATATCTAGAAACCCAATCTCCAACAAGTCAAGGTTCAAATCTCACCAAATATGGGGTGTATGTGAGTTTCATTGGCCATATATAAATATCGTATACTTCAAATGGGTACGTATTACTTCAAAGTTGGAATAATTTGGGGGAGATGAACGCCCTCGTGTCATGCACATCTTTATGGTTTTTCTTTATTGTGTTATAATCCTGTGTATTTGTCAAACTTATATAGAACGAATACGGGTGTTCAGACAAATTTACGCTTACTTTGCTTAATTCTATAAGTCGTTGAAATTAAGAATCAGATAAACATTCCTTAGAAAATTAAACTTCTTGCATTTGGGGAGCAAATTCTAAACCTTTCCACTTGAGTTGGGTCAAAAGTTTAGGTTGGTAAGAATCTTCTAGAACATGTATTAAATATATATATAAAAAATAAAGAAATGAATGAAAGATCGATTATGTGATCTCGTCATCACATAGGACTTTCTGAAGATGGGTTGGAGTTCGTTGATCTTGGAAATGGTTCGAATGTTACGGAGTATGATCTCTGCCTCCTAGGGACCTTCGTAATTGTAACGCCCTCATTTTATTTTAAACGTTACGTAATCTAAAGCTTTGAATCAACCAAAAATTTACTTAAGTTCTAACTCGCCTCATATCATGTTAAGTTATATAAGATCGACACATAACTGTCTAGACAAAAGACTAAAAATAAGATGATAATAGGTAACTCTCTAAGCGTGTCGTTGGCCCTTGTCCAACCTCGAACTACCTGACACTGAGATGTATATTATAGTCAGCTTATAAAGCTCAGTGAGTTCATGGTTTGCATGAATAAAATCATATCTTGACACACACACACACACACACACACATATATATATATATATATATGCATGCTTTATAATAAAAGTCACAGCTTTTACAAAAATATATTTAAAACACTGGAAATAAAAGATCTCATATAATGTTTAGTCGAGTATGGGTTATTTAGTCACAAACACGCCCTGGGTTGATGTGTTAGTCTTAATTGATCACCCACTTATCCGGATCGTGTTTTATACTGGTCGTGACTTACTGGTCAAATACCCACCCTTGAATCATAAAACTTTAATATGGAATAGCATGCTAGAGTTATTCAAAAACTGATTAAACACATACCATGTAACCATTCACAAAATAACATACATGTAAAATATATTATAACATATATGTAATTGAAATATCATGCATACGTACACATCATCAACGATTCATATCATGCAAAAATAAAATTGTACTTAGGTATGCATCCCAGTGAAATCTCATGAAGACTCACCTGATAACGTAGGTTGCTTAACTAATGTCGCTGACTGGCAACCTACAATTTATAATAACAAATAGTGCATTAATGATAAATTTCTTCCAAAGGGCAACATAAAAGTCAAATTATGGTCAACTACATTGACTAGGGTCAACCTTCGTCAACAATGCTTAAGAACGCTCCTCACATCAGTTAAAATTATAGGAACCGTGAGTTTCAACATAAGGTGTCTCATCTAGCTATAGATCTTAAAACGACATCATAAATGTAATTATTAAGTTATCTATTATATGATAAATAGGTTAATAATTACATATTTCGAGTTAAAAGCGTTCTAATAAATTTACAACTCGAGTAACACCTCATATAGTCAATTAATCATTTTATAACTCCATAAAATCATCTTTTATAGAATAAATGTCTAGACAATATATATATATATATATATATATATATATAACTCAAGAACTATGCTTTAATCTCATAAAAAAATATCTAATTATTTAAATGATTCATTCTAATTATCCCCAAAAAATTACATAGTTAAAGTAGTCAATTTCAACCTTGACGGTATTTTTATAAAGCAAAATGGTCACGTATTGCTCAAAATACACACTCTTTAATTTTAGAGACATTTTGGTAATTTTATAAAATCAAATAATAAAATAAAGTTGAAATCCACACATCTAGAATTTTCAAGGAACTTTCTGGATTTAAGAAAGTTTTAGAGGTTAAGTTTAGTTTCCTAAACTTTTGGGGTTATAATATAAATTTATTAAGGAAAATCAGTTAATTACTAAATATAAATAATTTTTAATCCTAAATAGCATGAAATGATTTTATACATGAGTGGTTAAGACGCGCCTTTACTAACAAGAGGTTGTGGGTTCGACTCCTTTTAAATAGATATCCATATATATTTTTAATGGGTTGGTTTCACAGGTTTATGGGTCGAATATGGGCCCGACCCGACCCACTCGCAACCCAGAAATACAGCAGCCCCATGACTGTGTGTTTCTTACCGTTTTAAGCTCCATTTTGACCCCTTTGTTTATCTTTTTTTCTTCATTTTTTTTGTACTAAGACCTTGGTAATTTTTTTACCAACATTCTGACATAAAGAACACAATTTTTCGTCAAGAAATGAGTTACATTTTTTTATTTAAAGTTTTAGTTTTAAACTAAACCGAACGAAACTTTAAACCCCAAAATTGAACCATAAAACACGAAATCTTGAATGTAAGACTACTAGGGTTCTATAGAGGGCTAAAACACGAAGCTAACCATACAAAGAACATGAATTTTATTTGAGTATTTTACCTCTAATCGTCGATAAACGAAGATTTCGGATGAGACTTTCGAGCTCCGATTTCTCTCCCGTTTCTTAGCAAAAATTCAAAATGTTTGAACAAAAACTATATATGGGAACGTTGGCTATATATTCCTATAATTTTTTGGCTTATTGGTTGACTGAACGAGCCAATTAGAAGCCTCAAAAGTCGGCATCGTTCCATCACTTTAAAAATCAGACTATGGCATATTTACAGAACATGTCCTTCTGGTTTGGACCTGTTAACACCTGACATACCCTTTTAACTATCACGAATTTACATTCGGCCCTTGGCTTCAAAGTTTTTGTCAAAATTACACTTTTCACCCCCATTTTGAGTTTTTTCTTCATTATTAGTCTGATTTTCAAAACCCTTTTAATTTCTTTATATATATATATATATATATATATATATGTATATTATAATCCAAAAAGGAAAGAATAATAATAAAAAATAAAACTAATTATATATTCCTCAAACTTCTTTTTTTTTTTTTTTGGTTTCACAGTAACTGACAGGCCCATTAATTTTCGGGTTATGAAACACTGTCTCGCTAGCCTATGACATCCGGGCCAAGGCATGTTTGTGCAAGATCTGGGCACAAAACTGTATTCGTTCAAATTCTATCATCATCATAGCATTCGTTGGATCATGGAAGGAGATCATGGACTTTCGATAACCATATTCTTGTTCTTCATGAACTGCAACCAGGTGAAGAACAATCTGATATCTCCCAACGTGTTTTTTCATTGAGACCATTGGTAAACCGTTGCAAACCATATCGGCACCTTCCTGGGTATGACAATAAAAATAAGAAGACGGCGGATAGGTCGTACCTTCGAGTCCGATCATTAGTTGATATTCGCCAACCGCTGAAGAAGGGGAAGAAGGTCAAGAGATCAGGGGGAGATTGGATAACTTGCAAATTCTGATACGAAACGACTTCCATCGGTTTGTTTCATATGCGATCTAATTGGGCACATCGATCGGTATTATGAGCAATTCTTTCAAACCCCCGAGGAAGATATCGTCCGTGCATGGGATGAATTGCTAAGTGCTCCTAACAAGAGGCTTGCGAACCTCGATGGTGAAAGGTGGATGAAGGAGGAGGACGATGGTAGTCTGATGGCGGCTAGGGTTGATGATGCGGCAACCTTACAGGCTGGAAAAAAGGAAACTCAAAATGAAAAAGGTAACCGCCAATCTCTTGGGGATTCAAATCATTTCTTTACAGGCGGAACACGAGACTTATAACTGAGGGGACCAAAACTAATCTTTTTTATAAATATGTCATGTAAACATGTAATGTTATATATGGATTTTGTAACCAAATTTTGTATATTAAAAAGTAGGGTAAAGGCGACCAAGATAATATTCCAAAGTAAACACTCTTAGAATCATAGCTTCCTTGTGTTTTATATATAATTTGAAATTTTTATGGCGTCCATCATTGCACTACAAAAAAATTGGCTTTATACGACATCATACACTATAGATCTTAGTTTTATAGGACCAAAATATAAAGATTTATATCTAAAACCATTACAATAGGTTTATAGAACGTTTTTAGCCATTTTAACAAGTTCTTTAGGACGTTTTAAGAGAAAGTGTCCTATTAGCTATTTTATCGGACACCTTTTAGAAGTGTCTTATAAACCTATCTTTTTATAGAACATTTGTGTTTACAAAACACTTTTTCAAATAGTGTCATATAAAATAGTTAATACTACACTTTATTATAAAATCGTCATAAAAAACTTGTTACAATGCATAAAAACGTCATATGAACCTATTATAACATTTTTAGATATGACACTTTTTGGTTTGATCCTATAAACTTAACTCCTATAATATATTTATATATTTTTTAGGATGCTTCTACATTTTAGGTGTCCTATAAAATAATTTAGTTATAGTGATTATAATAAGAAACTGATGTACTGTTTTGATATTCTTAAATTGAATCTTCCCTAAAAGTGATTGTTCATTTACTAAAATCAGTTACACTGTTTTAATCTTGTCCTCTGATCGAGCTCAATAACATATTTTATGGATTTTGAACTCAATCTGTTAATACATACTATTCTAACCCATGAATTAACACGTTTTTAAAATAAAGTGTCCTGTTAATTAACACGATTTTAAAATAAAATGTCTTATTAATTAACAAGTTTTTAAAATAAAGTGTCTTATTAATTAACACGTTTTTAAAATAAAGTGTCTTATTATAGGACACTTTTGAGAATTGTCTTATAAAACCGTCTATTTATAGGACATTTGTGTTTGTATAACATCTTTTCAAATAGCGTTCTATAAAATAGTTAATACTACACTTTATAAAATGCATAAAGAGCTGAAAAATGCCTAAAATGCAAAAAAAACATCTTATAAACCTATGGCAATAGTTTTAGATAGAATGTTTTTTGGTTTGATCCTATGATTATCATAGGTCCTATAAAGTATTTTCTAGAACGCTTCTATATTTTATGCGTCCTATAAAATTATTTTTTTAGTGATAGTTAATATTTTATAATTCTTGATCTTTTATGGTAGGATGGGCAGTTGGTCAGATCTAGTATGGATCGTACATGGACGGTAGTTGGAGTCGTAT